CATTCGGTGGCCTGGGAAAAACCGTGATAAAGATACGGCGGTTCTGCCTGTCCCAGCCCAGGGTTCCATTTTGTCATAGGGTGCTGGCAGATTACGGGCCTCCCATTGCTGCTGCCATTCCTTAATCTGCCATGGGCCCCTGTAGTACCGCCTCCTCATGCTGCTGCCAGGTTCACAGTGTCTCATGGGTCCCTGAACCGCCTCCCATTGCTGCTGTCTCCATCGCCACACTCTCTGCCATGTGCCACTTTCAGGTCTCCTCACACTGCTGGTGTGTTCCATTTTTTGTCATAGGGTGCTGGCAGATTACGGGCCTCCCATTGCTGCTGCCAGGCCCGTAATCTGCCATGGGCCCCTAGTACCGCCCTCCTCATGCTGCTGCCCAGGTCCACAGTCTCTCATGGGTCCCTGTACGGCCTCCCATTGCTGCTGTCTCCATCGCCACACTCTGCCATGTGCCACTTTCAGGTCTCCTCACACTGCTGGTGTGTTCCATTTTTTGTCATAGGGTGCTGGCAGATTACGGGCCTCCTATAGCTGCTGCCAGGCCCCTAATCTGCCATGGGCCCCTGTACCGCCTCCTCATGCTGCTGCCAGGTCCACAGTCTCTCATGGGTCCCTGTACGGCCTCCCATTGCTGCTGTGTCTCCATCGCCACACTCTGTCATGTGCCACTTTCAGGTCTCCTCACACTGCTGGTGGGTTCCATTTTGTCATAGGGTGCTGGCAGATTACGGGCCTCCCATTGCTGCTGCCAGGCCCGTAATCTGCCATGGGCCCCCGTAGTACCGCCTCCCATCCTCCTCATGCTGCTGCCAGGTCCACAGTCTCTCATGGGTCCCTGTACGGCCTCCCATTGCTGCTGTCTCCATCGCCACACTCTGCCATGTGCCACTTTCAGGTCTCCTCACACACTGCTGGTGTGTTCCATTTTTTGTCATAGGGTGCTGGCAGATTACGGGCCTCCCATTGCTGCTGCCAGGCCCGTAATCTGCCATGGGCCCCCGTACCGACTCCTCATGCTGCTGCCAGGCCCGTAATCTGTCATGGGCCCCTGTTGTCGCTTGTTGGCATATTCCGCTCGTTCAGATGCTCCTTCTCCTGCTACTCCTCTTCACGGATTCCGTCAGCAGTCTTTCTTGGAATCCGTTTCCAAGAGACAACAGTTTGCGAGCACGCACCCGACGGTGCAGAAGCTGAACGTCCTCCTGTCCAAGTTGCTGCTGCCAGGCTCGTAATCTGTCATGTGCCCCTGTACCGCCTCCTCATGCTGCTGCCAGGTCCAGAGTGTGTCATGGGCCCCCGTACCGACTCCTCATGCTGCTGCCAGGCCTGTAATCTGTCATGGGCCCCTGTACCGCCTTCTCATGCTGCTGCCAGGTCCAGAGTGTGTCATGCGTCCCTGTAGGGCCTCCCATTGCTGCTGCCAGGCCCGTAATCTGCCATGGGCCCCCGTACCGACTCCTCATGCTGCTGCCAGGCCCGTAATCTGTCATGGGCCCCTGTACCGCCTCCTCATGCTGCTGCCAGGTCCAGAGTGTGTCATGGGTCCCTGTACGGCCTCCCATTGCTGCTGTCTCCATCGCCACACTCTGCCATGTACCACTTTCAGGTCTCCTCACACTGCTGGTGGGTTCCATTTTGTCATAGGGTGCTGTATGGCCTCCCATTGCTGCTGCCTCCACCGCCACACTGTGGCTCCACACTCTGGTTTTGGCCCCGTGACTGCCCAAATGAGTGAAGTGTGCGGTGATTCTAAGATCGACGGCACTCATCTGCATGTCATACTGACTGACAGTATTATTTCTCTTCCCCAGCAGACTCCAAGGGCATTTAAATTAAAGGTACAGTGTTCTGCACTAATATAAAGGCTCTCTGAAGCCTAGAAACACCCTTTTATAAGTTAAATTCGCAGCGAATATATTCGACTCTAATCAAAATTTTTTCACGAATTCGCCGAATCAGTCGAATCGAATTTTTGAATAATTCGCTCATCTCTAATTGCTATAAATGTAAAACAGGTCAAAACTGCTTCTGGTAATAGTGTTTTTGTCAACTATAGCTAGTATGGTTGTGTCAATTCTAGTAACTTACATATACTAAATTGTAATGTGGGCATGCAATAATAACCACTAAGGCTGTAACTGAGAGTACACAAAGGTGCTAATCTAAAAAAAAAATGTCCTTGAATTGTGCTTACTGCTTATTGTGGCAGTTACAAGGTGTGTTTAACAAAGAATAAGAGAGAATAAAATCATAAGAAATTAATTTAAAAATGTTGCTGTTATTACCCTCTGAACTATGTAATTGGTTATTTAGCATATTATGATATTGACATAATCATTTGTTCATTAGATTGTAAGGATGACCGGTCATGTTGAAATGTAGGCTTTATGAAGAAACAGCAACTTGTATGCTATATGCAGTACAGACTAGATTTTAGACCAAGTTGCCATTTTTGTTCATTGTCTTAAAAAACATAAATAATTTAATCATAGGCTTTAGATTTTCTTACTCACAGTTGTTATATAAAACTATTTCATTACAGACCAGTATGCTGATCAGGCTTTACAAAAAAAGGAACTTTCACATTCTGTTTTCATTTCACACACATACAAGATTCATTTCTCGTGGCTGATGTAGCACTGAGCTGTACAGTTAAAAAGATGAACATTGAGTAAATAGTTCAGTACAAAAGCATAACTTAGTTGGTTAGATTTTTGGTTCCTGTTTAAGCAGCCATTGATGCTGTGACACCAGTTCTTTTCAGTAGATCACCCAAACAAAGCAAGCCCAAACACATACTGTATACATTCTCTTAAGTAGTGCCAATAACATGTCTGGCATGACCCAGTGATAAGTGTACTTCATTCCTGGTGTTTATGTAGACATGTCTTTAGGGGCTTGTGTCCATGAGCTGTTTTTCCAGCATTTGAAAAATGAATTGCAAGTCTTCAGACTTACCTTTACTTTGTATTGTGGATGATCCTCTGATGCTGCATTTGACCAGGTTTTCATTTCTTTCAATACAGCCAGTCCAGTTAAGGCATGTTCCTGCTGCTTCAAGGGCTCCCCAGTTTCAGGCATCAGGTGTCATTGTGAAAGTTGCTTACATGTCACACAATGAAATGAGCTCCATGCTTGAAGATGGTAGCTCAATGGCATGTATTAGGCAAGCTATTTTACTAAACAACAAAAGTGTAATGCACACAGGGCTTATATACCAGTATAAGGATAAAAGGCATACAAGTGAGCGCTAAGCGTGAGCTGCTGTAACACCGAAAGGCACCAACAATCTTCTGAGACCAATTGATATATTAAGGTGCAGCGCTAGAATCATAAATTCAATATAGTGCAAACAATAATGAAATTATCCAAAATAATCTTGATGATATATAAAGTGCAGATAGTGTCAATGATGAATCAATCAGCACAGGTAAATCAATAAAGTGACAACAGTGCAAATGCACATTACCGAACACAGGTAATTAGATAAAGTGACAACAGTGCAAATGCACATCAAAAAAAGGTGAAAATGGTGCTAAAAGGGACAAAGTCATATATCGATGTATAAATAAATAAACGTGAAGCTTCAGATACAGTGGTCATCTGTGTATCTTCCGGTGATGAAATAATAGAATTACGCACTCACCAGATGCATAATTCCATCATGCATTTGAGAATAATTACATCTCAGTGGGCCAGCTGGATCCTCTTATGGACACCTCTATCCTGGTATGGACTTCCCTCTGGGTCATCAGACTCAGGCACACGCCCTATGAGTAGGTGCTAGAGCACGAAACGCGTAAGGGAGGAGCTGCAGCGTCCTGCCGTCATGCCTCCGAGGCCCACGCTGGTCCGGTGGCCATCTTTATCTTCAACTTATGGTCGGTCTGTGTTTACCTCCACTTCTGTTACATGCCTGTTATGGATCAATAAAATGCCTTTTGAAGCAGTATCACACTATTTTGGCATCCTTTCTTGGGGCTATTGCTGAGCCTTACCACCCACAGAGCCCATTGTGAAAGGAGGTGAAAGGTGCTGCATCCCACTGATGACCCAGAGGGAAGTCCATACCAGGATAGAGGTGTCCATAAGAGGATCCAGCTGGCCCACTGAGATGTAATTATTCTCAAATGCATGATGGAGTTATGCATCTGGTGAGTGCGTAATTCTATTATTTCATCACAAGAAGATACACAGAGGATCACTTTATCTGAAGCTTCACGTTTATTTATTTACACATTGATATATAGACTTTGTCACTTTTAGCAACATTTTCACCTTTTTTGTATGTGCATTTGCACTGTTGTCACTTTATCTATTTACCTGTGTTCGGTAATGTGCATTTGCACTGTTGTCACTTTATTGATTTACCTGTGCTGATTGATTCATCACTTACATTGACACTATGACACTATCTGCACTTTATATATCATCAAGATTATTTTGGATAATTTAATTATTGATTGCATTATATTGAATTTATGATTCTAGCGCTGCACCTTAATATATCAATATATAATAGTATACTCAGCCCATATAACAATTTATTAAAGTGCAAAGCAAGCAGGCAACAACAAGGTAAAGTGCATAATACTCCTATATAGAAATGTGACATTCAGAGCTGCCAAACAGGCTCTTTTTCAAGCATTGAGTACAAAGCATACATGCCTAAGACATGCTTAAAGTGGTTCGAAAGGTAAAAGATTTTTTACCTTAATGCATTCTCTGCATTAAGGTAAAAAAACCCTTTTAATAGTGGCTTCCTCCCCAGCCCCCCCTACATACTTACCTGGACCCGATCTTGGGCCAGAAGACACGGTAGGTTAAAATAAACAAACTCAATATGCAAATTATTATAGATGCTTAGCAGTCTTGTTCATCTGTGATGTAATAATATAGATTCCAGTCATTTGACTCATGTTTGTCAGCTCAATTGGCTGTTAATTAAAAATTGAAAATGTATATTAACATGACATGAATATTGTTTTCCACAGGCAGAGGCGAATGATGACAGGTATCCTGTAACAGCCATGCCATTGGGCTTCTGCTTGATCATGGACTGTGTTGGAAATGACTCAGGTAAGTGATTTTAATTAATATAGTACTTAAACAGTAGTAGTATGGAAACTTTATTTACACAATGTTTTCACATCTTTCGTGTAAAAAAAACCCAAACACCTATGTTTTAATTGTTAAGCTCTACATAGACATAAAAAGCACAGATTTATTCAGTTATTATTTAAAAATGTAAATACTTTTCTTTCTTTTCATATAGGCAGTTCAAAAATTTTAATCTTTGGGGAATCCTAAAGCTACAAAAACGGAAAATTGAATGACAGATACTTTACTCTAATTTTCTTTTTCTGACGAGCTCCATGTCAGCACAGCTGGGTGAGGGCACTGCCACCCCCGTGCTTCCAGGATCTAACTCATAAATTTGATAAATTTGAGCCCAACTGCAGCCTCAGAGTTCTGTAACTAGTCCTTCCAAGCTGAGTGGGAATTGTGCTGACATGGAGCTTGTCAGGAAAGGAAAATTAAAGTATCTGTCATTCAATTGTATGCTTTCCTAACAGCTCCATGTCAGCACAGCTTGGAACTAACTAGCCTCACAGGGGAGGGACAATGCTACACAGTCCTTAATTTTGGCTAAAAGCAGAAGCCAGGATGCCTCTGCCAAGCTCAACTGTCATTAAGACTGCTTCTATACAGTAATGACCCATAACATATATATATTGACACCCATGTGGCTGCCTTGTACATAGTGTCTGGGAACACTCAACCTGCTGTTGCTCACAAGGTCAAGACCCTTCGAGTGGACAGTGATGCGATCCCTCTGGCCCAGCCAACCCTTTCAACTTATAGGCCAAGGAGATGAGCTTCACCAACCAAGAGGCAATAATGTTATTGGAAGCTTTAAAATCATTGCACGCTGGAATGACAAACAAGTGCTACTGACTTCTAGATGTCATCTTGGTGCAATATTTTGAAACTTGGTCCACGTCTGATGGGCTAACTTCTTGGGTACTCTCCAAAAGGGATGTAGGAAGGCCAAGTTTTTGTGTGATTTGGACTCTGAAGGCCACTTAGGCACAATCTTTAGCATAAGCCTAAGTAAAACCCAGTGTGGGATGAATGTAAGAAAGGCTTCTTTAAACCCCAGGGCCACTAATATGGACACTCTTCTGGTTGATGCGATTGCCACCAGGAAAGCAGTTTTCAGCAAGGGGTACCACAGGGGACCACTTGCTTGAAGGCATCTAATGCAAACAGGTCCAAAACCAATAGAAAATCCCATTTCCCAAACAACAATTCTTTTATGTAGGTTTGAACCAAGTTGCAGCTTGAAGAACAGCATAATTGAGTGTTGGATGGCCGACTGTATGGTGAAGGCAGAAATAGCTGAAATGTGGGCCCACAGTGTACTTGTGCATAAACCTAAATCAAGCCCCGCCTGCAGAAACTTCAGAATGTGTCAGACTTGTGAAGAACCCAGTGTAAAACCTTGATCAGCAGCAATCCTGTTCATTTATGTTATATTCTACTATAAACACTGTTAGTGTGGTTCTTCTTTGGTTTCAAGAGTATCCACAACCTTTACAGAGTATCTGAGAACTATTAGCTTCTGCCTCTCAAGAGAGCCATGAGCTTGAGCCTGTCAGGTGTTGGACAAATGGGACTTTGGGGAAGAAGCAATCTTACTGGCAGAGGGAGTGGATCCTTGACACTCATTAGGAGAGGCATAGGGTACCAAGGCTCCTTCAACCAATCTGGGATCACCTCCAGAACCATCACCTTCCATTACCACAGCCTCAGCAGGAAGGCATAAGCTGTCCTGGAGATCCACTCTGCGATCAGTACCTCCACCCCAATTGCTTGTTGATGCTGGACCATGGAATAGAACTTCAGCAACTTGGTGTTGACTGGGGATGTGAACAGGTCTACCTCTGGAGGAAATTATCAAGCCCATTAGTTCTGGAAAGACTTGCAGCAGTCTGGACCATTCATTATAGTCCAGGATTGTCTTGGAAAAATAGTTTGCCTAAAGATTCTTCTGACAGGGCACATAGGCCACAGATAGCTTCAGGATATTGACTTGACTATAGAATCTGAGAAACTGAGTGCCCCCTTGTTTCCGGATGTAGGCCACAGTCTTTGTGCTATCTAACTTCACCAGGATAGGTCCACCCTGGATTAAATGACTGAAGGCTAAGAGCCTGAATTCCGGTCTTAATTCAAGGATGTTGCACAATTAAAAAAGGCCATTGGTCCTCGGCCCATTACTCCTGAATTAGGGCTCCCAAACTACTTTGCTGGTGTTTTACTGCACCACCAGCCACTAGGTCATCAGATGGGAATGACTTGGCAGATTATACTTCTCCAACCAAAAGTTTAGGCTCAATTTCATACAGGACATAATCGATATCTTCTGACTTAGGCCCTCTGACTGCTACAAGTCTAGAAACTTGGCTTGAAAGTGGGTAAGCGTTTAACAGAGACTACCTGACCTGCTGGAGTGACGCAATTTATGTGGCCAATCTGCGATGTGAAGGATGAAAGATCTCCCAAATATGGCCTGAAATGCTTGCCTTGAAGGACTATGTGTGTCTGTCACCAAAGCTGTACCTGTGTCCAAAGAGGAGCCATCAAGTGCCCATAAGACTTGTATGGATGGCACAATCACCAAATACTAAAAAAGCATCCTGACATGAAGCTCTTTACTGACTTCTTAGATTATGTGCTGGCTTTTTCTTTGACTCCCAGCAAGAAATGCAGAAGCTACCCACCTCAACAGATGTTCAACTTGAGACAGGAAGCCAAAATTACCACTATTAATTTAGGCTTCACCGTCTAAGATCAAGAACAATGCAGTGATTGAGTACGTCCTTGGAGGCCACTGCATCTTCTAATGGTAAAGTCATATATCTGGCCAGTCACATAAAGGACACACCAACCAAAGGGGTGATTCAAAACCATTGACAGTCTGCTGTGACAACAAGCTTCAATCTTGTAGAACAAGCGCTTGTTTCAGTCACCGTAAGGGAATTGTCAAGCCGCCCTCCGGAGGCACTTAAAATACATCCACATCCTTGTCTCTATTTAAAGGCATTCCATCAACCTTACAAAAGGAATCAAAAATCTGGACACAAGTCGTCCTAATCTTCTTGTTCAGAAGGGCCTGAAGAGGATTGATTGGCTTGAGAAGACTCTGAGACCAGTTATAATGATCCTAAAAGGAAGACTGGGCGTTGGCAGAATAGATGGCCTTTGCAGAAAGTGAATTCAGCAATTCCTTTAGAGTGTCTTGACCACATGCTTAATTAATTGTGACAACTTGGTCACAATCATCTTAATCACTATCTACTTGGACAAAGCAGGAATCAGACAGTCATGTTCATCCACATGTTCTTTGGATGAATCTAACAAGGGATGATTTGTCTGAGAAGGTTTTGAGACTGCTAATTGGCAGAATATATGACCCCTTCACAAGGCGAGTGGAAGCAACTACTTTAGAATGTATTGACCACATGGTCAATGAATGTGATAACCTGTCACCCTATTTGTCCTGTTTATCATTGAAAGTGAAAGTAGAAGAAAATCCCAAATTTTAGATTGTTACCAGAAAAGTAATAGAGAGGAAATCTTTCAATGGAGACACTAGTTCTGGGGACTCTGGTGACAATTAGGGATTCCCTCACTTTGGAGGGATTTCCTCTCACTTCCTGTTTGGCTATGGGACAGGAAGTGAAGGAAAATCTTTGCAATGGGACACAGAGGGCAAAAAAAAAATCTGACAGGCAATAACCCTCCCTTGCTCTATCCAAAATGAAAAAAAAAGTTTTTGCATATAGTTCTTCTTTAACTCTTGCAGTGGGAAGGGGGACCCACTGCAGGGGTATAATTTTTTTTTTTTATTTCCAGGAGTTCAGCTTTAACCAAACATTCCTTATGGTTGTTAATATTTGCACTGACTTACTAAATAATCATAACAGTACTGCTGCAGGAGAAATATTAATATTAGATATTATATAGAAATTTCATTTATCTTTTTAGTTGTTACATTCGATGATGTTAACCATTTGTTTATTTTTCTACAGCAATGCTTAAAGATGTATTTCAAAATCTTAATTTTTCTGTCAACGTTAAAATGTATACAACAATTCAAGAAGTAAAAACGATACTCCAAGACATTGCTAACATGGAACAGCTCAAAGAATATGACATTTTCATCTGTATCCTAATCAGCCGGGGGAATGCAGACTGTCTTTTTTTCATAGATGGATGCTCACCAGGACTCTCTTTTGAAAAAATTAGGAATTTTTTCACTGGGCAGTCATGTCCAAACTTGGTAGGAAAACCAAAACTCTTCTTTATACAAAACTATATCACTGATGATTGTGAAGTGCAGCACGATGGAGACGCCTTAGAGGCTGATGGTCCCATCGACATCGAAGAAGGTCAAGAGAGAAGGCGCAACATTGTAAACACACCCAATGAAGCAGACATATTTTGGAGTCATTGTAAAGCAGCTGAGCGACAGCTTCAGAGACTTTCAGCTTGCTCTTCATTGTATCTAAAGACACTTACTGATTTATTAAATAACAAGCAAAAAAGGTAAGGTATTCTACTGTCATGCCAAATACATACTGTTTAAAATGTTTGGTCAGTAAAGGTTTGGATAAAATAAGTATCTCCTGCTGATTTGAGGTATGGCACCACTAGGGCCTTTGTCAACAGACTCTGGGCTTGTGTCAATGACATTAGGAGGCTTCGAAGAACATTTAGGATACTTTGACAGGTACATTTAACCTGCAGCTGACGCAAACAAAACCATAAGTCCTTAATTTGATTAATAGAGAACATTGCATTTTCTTTTGTTCTGTGGTCCAGAATCAGGTACCATGATAGAACAATGCCTAGAAAGAAAATGTCAGACATTGAGCTAAACTGAATAATACAAAGAACGCAGATTAAGTATAAACTGATAGGACTTCGGCTTGTCTGCAGTATGGCAAATTAAAGCTACTTTAATTTTATGCTTGAGCTGAACTTATAGATAAACCAAATACTGCTATAGTTAGAGTGGGAAGACAGCTTTCCTGGTAATTATAATATATAAACCAGAAAGTGTCTTTTTCTAAAGTAAAAACACATAGTGATATTTATCCCTCAAAGAGGGACTGTACCCCATGTTATTTTTTTTAATCTGATTTTTCTTAATTCTCTGGTATATCCTCAAAATACATAGTCAGACAGCCAGTTAGTCCAGTGTTGTCCTGCTGCAATTCACTGCAGCTTGCCAAGTCCCTTGCTGCCATCTTTTCTACTTACATCAGTAGGAGGCCAGCTGCTTCTTCTGGGTTCCCAAGGCCTCCTGGGATGCATGATGCCAGTATTCTGTATCTCTACAATAAATACACATTGCCTAAGTTTCCTAGGTTTTATCCCTTTACAAATGCTGCAAGTACAGAGAAATACCCGTTGATCCTGCCACAAATCTATTCAAATTAAAAATTTTCTGCAGTGAGCTGACAACATAGTACCTCTTGTCCACTGAAATCCAAATGGGTTTACTTAAAGTGCTATGAAACACAAAAACAAAAATGCAATATATTGCAGCTTACCAATCTTTAAATGTGGTGGCTGCATTGGTTTTCTATTTTTTTTTAGGCTTTTTTTCTCTTAATTTCACCTGGTGATCCAGCCAAGTAACACACTTCTGGAGAGATTTACTAAAACTGCTGCACTCAGAATCTGGTGTAGCTGTGCATGGTAGCCAATCAGCTTCTAACTTCAGTTTGTTCAATTAAGCTTTGGCAATAAAACCTAGAGCTGCACCAGATTTTGCACGCTCCAGTTTTAGTAAATCTCCCCCTTCCTGTCTAAAGCTGGCCATACATTATTCAATTTTCTTGTTCAATTTCCTTTAGATTTACTTTCAACTATGTAGTGCAAGGACCTGCCAGATTGCATACAAGTTGAAAGTGTTTAGGTCTGACCTCATATGATTTGGTTTTGATAACTCTGAAGGAAAATTGTACAAAAGTGTATACTGTATGGCTTTAGTGTGTCTGTATTCTGGATGAAGTAGTAAAGCAAACACCTTTGGACAGCAGCATTGTCAGTCTGGGGGATAGGTAATGTTAGACTAGCTATTTTAGATGAACGTAAAGGCTAAGTTCAACTTTTTTTCTAAATTCCAGCTCCCATATGTACAAATATACCAGCACTGTACATCTGTTGCAAAAAATAAAACCTGCCTTTAATTTTTAGAATAAGGCATTACTTCAGACCTCAGCCCTGCTGTGTTCCATAGAAAACCTTTATGACTTCCTGGTATGTAGATTTGGACATGAGAACCATTAAGACATACGAAGCAGTTCACCAGCTGACCTCATCAGCACACACACACACCCAGCACCCATCAACTATGTTTGCACAACATATGCGGTATCCTTCCAGGCATGCATTTGCCTGGCTTTTCAATGTATGCCGCCACGACTGCTATGTTTGCACGGAATCTTCGGCACCCCTCCAGATGTGCCCTGGCTGCATGCTAAATTCTCTGGGGCCATATGTGGTCCATGGGCTGCGTTTGGACACCCCTGATGTAGTGCAAGGGCTTGCCTAGATGGATACAGAGGTGGGTCCCCCTACCCATAGTTCTGGTAAATCTAAATTAAATTGTACAATCTGATTGTATAGTGTATGGCCACCTTTATACACCTGAAAAAAACATGTGTCAAACGCAGCATAATGCACAGAGAATAAATGCGCAATCCATAACACACCAAATTGAAGCTGAACTCAAGCTAACACTTATAAACAGTTACAGTAAACAGTTTTTCCTTTTGGGATAAAGATTTTACATAATTAAATGCTGATGATTATAAGCACTCCAGTCAGTGGTAAATGGTTTGTATCAACCCTCTAATGGCTACTTTGTCTGGACAGCTTGGTCAGTTAAAATAAATTGAAATATAGCAGACTTACTGGCTGGATTACCAGGTAAAAATAATGGCGAAAGTAGAAAAAGAAAAAAGAAAACCAATGAAAGCACCACATCTACGAATCGGTGAGTGCTGCAAAGTAATACATTTTTTTTTTTGGTTTATTTTTAGTTCTCTTTTGGTACACTACAGAACACCTCCCCATCTCCTCATGACTATAACATAAGTAAGAGGTGTTCTATAATCTTGCTGGGGAGAAATCGGGCAGATTTGACAACACTACTTGGGGATTCAGTGAAGCAGAGACACCATTATGAGCTGACCATAGGGAAGTTAGGAGATCACAGATTTCCTAGCAGAATCAACAGGTGTTTTGCTGTACTTGCAGCATAAAACACAGAGAAATGTACATAGGAGATTTATTTGCCCAGAAAAAACTTAAAGGAGTTCTATGGTCACAGATTACACTTTTATTTTCTAACCTCAACACTGTAATAGCAAATAAAACAATAGCTTACTTGAAAAATCTTCTTTCTTGTTGTGAGTGCTACCTGTCTGCTGGCCATCTCTTTCCACAACTTCCTGTATTCTCTGCATGCTTTGCAGCTTCTCCTCTCCTGTTTACTTTTGATTCCTAAGGACTACATATCCCTTGATACCTTGCCTGCAAGCGGTGATTCCTGCACTGGACCCTGAAACTCCTCCTCTCTGCACCTCATGTAGTTCAGAAGGCAGGCTCTGTGAATTGTGTGACACAGCAGCGCCTACTGACAGGGCATAGTGAATGTGTGTCACAGAATTTAAAGAATACAATGTGTGGGGAGTCTTCACAAATAATTATTATTATTATACAGGATTTATATAGCGCCAAAAAGGTTTGCTCAGCGCTGTACATTATAGTGGGGACAGAACATGAGACAATACAGCAACAAACAATACATGAGGGGTTCAAGGGCCCTGCTCTTTCGAGCTTACAATCTAGGAGGGAGTGGATAGTGGCACAGGAGAAAGTGGATATGGACAAAGTGGACAAAGAATGTTTTCAAACTTCAAGATTATTTAGATTAAAGTAGAACTATAGGCAAAACCTTTTTTTTTTCATTTTGGATAGAGTAAGAGAGGGTTATAACCCCTGTCAGATTTTGTTTTTTTTGCTATGTGTCCTATTGCGGTGATTACTCTTCGCTTCCTGTCCAATATCCAAACAGAAAGTGAGAGGAAATCCCTGCAAATTAAAGGAATTCCTTGGGGACCTCCAGGTCACCAGAACTAGTGTCCTCATTAGAAGATTTCCCCACTATTACTTTTCTGGGGACAGCACAAAATATGGGATTTTCTTTTACTTGCACTTTCAATGGAAATGGTAAATAGGACAAATAGAGAGTGAGAAGAGAATCTCCTACTGGGGGGCACAGACAACAATAAAATCTGACAAGCATTCTAATCCCTCTCTACTCGATCCAAAACTAAAAAAAAAAGTTTTGCCTTTAATTATATTTTTAATAGGAATGGGCTAGACTTTAATGAAATTTAATGCGGAAATGAATTTAGAATTTTACATTTTGACCATAGATACAATTTATTATTATTATACAGTATTTATATAGCGCCACAGTTTGCTCAGCGCTGTACATTACAATGGGAGACAGTACACGAGACAGTACAGTAACAGTACAATTTGATACATGAGGGATTTGAGGGCCCTGCTCCTTGGAGCTTACAATCTAGGAGGGAGGGGATAGTGGTACAGGAGGAAATAGCTGTGGGGGATGGAGTGGTAGGAAGAGTGGAGGCGATCGGCAATTAGCTGAGGGCGGGGTAGGCTTCCCTGAAGAGATGGGTCTTCAGGGTGCGTCTAAAGGAGAGGAAGGTAGGTGATAGTCTGATGGATTGGGGTAGGGAGTTCCAGAGGATGGGGGAAGTCCTGGAGATGGGCATGGGAGGAGAAGACCAGGGAACTAGAGAGTAGGAGGTCTTGTGAGGCGCGGAGAGTACGTTTAGGGTGGTATTTGGATATCAGGTCAGTGATGTAGTTTGGGGCAGTGTTATGAACAGCTTTGTACGTCAAAGTTAGCATTTTGAATTTTATCCATTGGGCGATCGGAAGCCAGTTGAGGGATTGGCAGAGGAAGGTGGCGGATACGGAGCGGTTAGTAAGGTGGATGAGTCTGGCCACAGTATTCAGGATAGACTGAAGCGGGGATAGCCTGTGGTGAGGTAAGCCTGTGAGGAGGGAGTTACAGTAGTCGAGTCGTGATATGATAAGGGAGTGAATGAGTTGCTTAGTAGTTTCCGGGGTTAGGAACGGACGTATTTTGGAGATGTTGCGGAGCTGGAGTCTACATGAGTTTGTCAGTGATTGGACCTGTGGGTTGGAGTCTAGGATGACGCCTAGTACTCTGGCTTGCGGGGTGGGACTGATGGTGGCATTGTTGGACGTGATGGAGAAGTCGGGGGGGGGGGGGTGGCGCGGGCTGGGGGGGAAACTAGGAGCTCAGTTTTGGAAAGGTTTAATTTGAGGAAGTGGAGTGACATCCAATCTGATATGTCATTCAGTAGGCTAGTGATTCGGGCAGGGGACTAAGGGGGTGAGGCGAGGGGTAGAGAGATAGATTTGCATGTCATCGGCATAGAGATGGTAGTTGAAACCGTGAGAGTGAATCAGTTGGCCGAGGGGAGGAGGTGTAGATGGAGAAGAGAAGGGGCCCTAGGACAGAACCTTGAGGAACCCCAACAGAGAGGGGGAGTGAGGGGGAGGTGGTAGCGTTATAGGTAACACTGAAGGAGCGCTGTGATAGATAGGAAGAGAGCCAGGAGAGAGCAGAGTCTCTGAGGCCAAGAGAATGTAGTTTTTTTGAGGAGGAGGGGGTGGTCAACTGTGTCGAAAGCCGCGGAGAGGTCGAGGAGTAGGAGCACTGAATAGTGGCCAATTTTCTTTGGCGGTTAGCAGGTCGTTGGTGAGTTTGAGTAGGGCAGTTTCGGTGGAGTGTAGGGGACGGAAGCCAAACTGTAGGGGATCAAGGAGGTTGTTGTCGGTGAGGTGGGAACTCAGGCGATTATAGACTAAACGTGCAAGGAGTTTGGATGTAAATGGCAGCAGGAAGATGGGTCTAAGGTTGTTCAGGTCGGTGGGATCCAGGGAGGGTTTTTTAAGTATGGGAGTGATGTGCGTGTGCTTCAAATTACACTTCATATTTCTATATGATCCTGAAGAAGAAAGCAACACATTTTGTTTGTATGAACTAGAGAGTGGAAAGTGCGTTTAAATGCTTATTGTTTCTCTTTCAATGTACAAGTAGAATCTGTCTTACATAGTTGCTAACAAAGTATTTCTTTCTTTTGGCTGCAGGAAACACCAGGACATTCAAGAGATTCACACAGAACTTAATAACATTATATACAGCAAGCAAAGCGGATACTCAGTACTGCTACAACATACTCTCACCAAAAAACTCTTTATTCATCCAGTGTGAAATAATAAAAGTACTAAATGAAAACCATCTTGCCTTGAAATGGGACGAGTTGAATAGAAGGATCCATTGTAGTGAAAATTGTAGGTAAAGGATGGCATATAATTATGAGAAACCCACTAGAGTCTCCACAGTAGAATGTGATTGGACGGTCCTGATTTCATATGGTGGAACTAAAGAGGCAAAGTCACAACCATGTCTTCATTAGCTCAGCCTTTCTCCTTACGCCCTGGCATTGTTATTTGTGTTCCATGAACATAGACTTTTCAGCACTAAGTGATTCTTATACTTTTTTTTGTCTACTACTCTTGTATGCCATATTAAAAGAGAAGTGCAGGATCCAAAAAACACACATACTCACCTAGATGGCTGCAGCATCGATTGAAGCTGCAGCTATCCCCTGCTGGCTCTACACTGAGAACTGAGGGATCTGAGAACTGAGGGAACTGAGTTCACTAATTCCTTAGTTTTTGAGTCCGCTCAGGGGCGGACTGACCATTCGAGCACTCGGGCACTGCTCGAGGGCCCGGGGTCAGTAGGGGGCCCCATGAGATGCCCCTGGTACCCTTCATAGGCTGTTTTGGGTGTGATTTGAGTGTGGGCAAGGTCACAGGGGCCCCATGATCCCCTATTGCCCGGGGGCCCCATGAGTTGCCAGTCCGCCCCTGGGTCCGCTCTGAGCAGAGAGCGGTGACTGTCAGTCACCGTTCTGTGCTCTGCCCATGCCGGGCTTTGGAGGGATGCACTGAGAGGCTGAGCCAGCTGATAGGCACCTGGACGAATCCCAACATTAGTGTCGGGATTTCTGCAGAGCATGGACCTACTCTTTGACATCAGCCAAAAGTGGACTTTAGCGTGCTGTTGGCTGAATCTGGGTCACAGGAGTGCTCAACTAAGTGCACTCCTGTAACCCACAGTAGTATGACCAAAAGTATGACCTTTGGCCATACTTCTGTAAATGTATTTTTTTATACCATTAAAATAAATGGACAAATCTTAGTGTGTGTGAAAAAATATATATTTTTTAAATTATTACATTTTTTATTTACATACTGTCACCAATTGGTGTCCCTGGTCCCCGCCACAGCAGTTATACGATGACACTGTACTGCACTGGTGATCAATCACAGCAGATTACATGACGATTATACACAATGGATGGCTTCCATTCATACCATTCATTGTGTACTATTGTGATCTCTGTGATTGTTACAGTGATCACATGGTACAGACAGGGCCAATCATAGCCCATCTGTGCTATGTGTTTAGCTGCGCCAATCACAGTTATTCACAATAGTACACACTGAATGAATGGATTTCATTTAGAAAAATGGTTGCTTATAGCAGTGATCATCACTGTTATAAGCTATGATAATGTGTAAAAAAAAAAAAAATCCTTACCACCTCCCCAGAGTAGGACAGTGTTACTATGGTAACACTGTATTGCTCTGGTCACAGTATATTTAAAAAAATAATAGAAAAAAAAAAGGTATTAACCACTTCCTATCCGGCCCATGTATATAAATGTCCTCCCTGCTTCCCTGCTTGTGTGCGCTCCCTGTACGGGACCTCTGTGTGCGGTTCCGATCATGTGATCACTGATTGGCCAATCAGTGATCACGTGAATAGTAGTAAGCAAGATGTCACTTCTGACATCATTGCTTACTACGTGTGAAATCTGTGAATGATCACAGAGGTCCCATGGTACAAGGCTCTTCACAACAGCCTTGTACCATGTGACAAGCTGTGACCAATCACAGCTCGAAAGTATTTCTCAATGGCTGCAAGAATGCAGCCAGAGAGAAGGAGAAATGATTGCTTTTACAGCCTTTATAGGTGTAAAAGCAATCAGTGTAAAAAAAAAAAAAAATCTTCATCACCCCCCACAAGTAGTACAGTGTCACTATGGTTACACTGTACTGCTAGGGTGACAGCATGTTAAAAGAAAAAAAAAAAATAATAATATAAAAAAATAAAATAAAAATGTAAAAAAATTTTTTTTTAAATTATAATTTTTGGTTATAAACTAATTTTTTTTTTTTTTTTACTAAAAAGATAACTGAATAAATTTTGGCCAAGATTTATGAATAAAAATTATTTATTTGCAAAAGTTTGTAAGAAAAACACTTTTTTTCAAAATTTTGGGACTTTTTCATTTATATAGCAAAAAAAAAAAAAAAAATCCCAGTGGTGAATAAATAACACCAAAATAAAGTTTTATCTTTTGCAAAAAAAATGCTAAAAAATTCATATGGGTACAGTGTAAAAAAAAAAAAAAAATCTTCACCCCCCACAAGTAGTACAGTGTCACTATGGTTACACTGTACTGCTAGGGTGACAGCATGTTAAAAAAACAAAAAACAAATAATAATATAAAAAAAAAAAAAAAATGTAAAAAAAAAATAAAATAATAAACTAATTTGGGTTATTTTTTTTTTTTTTTACTAAAAAGATAACTGAATAAATTTGGCCAAATTTATGAATAAAGATTATTTATTTGCAAAATTTTGTAAGAAAAACTTTTTTCAAAATTTTGGGAAGTTTTCATTTATATAGCAAAAAAAAAAAATCCCAGTGGTGAATAAATACCACCAAAATAAAGTTTTATCTTTTGCAAAAAAAATTCATATGGGTACAGTGTTGTATGACCACGCAATTATCATTCAAAGTGTGATATCACTGAAAGCTGAAAATTGGCCTGGACAGGAAGGGGGTAAAAGTGTCCGGACTTGAAGTGGTTAAAAAATAAAAAAAAAAAATTAAAAAAAAATAAATAAGAATTAAATACAGTATATATATATATATATATATATATATATTTATATTTTTTTTTTTTTTTTTTTTACATACGGTCACCAGTGTCCCTGATAACCACCAGTTATATGATGAAGCTGTACTGTACTTGTGACAGTATGTAAAAAAATTTGTGAAAAATGAAAAAAAAAAAATTTCATTTCCAAAAAATTGTGACAAAAAAATGACAACTTAAAAAAAAATTCACCATGCTTCTTACTAAATACCCTGGACTGTCTACTTTCCAAAAAGGGGTCATTTGTACTGCCATGGCATTTCCAAGCCACATGAGAAATGAGGCTGTCAGTACATCAAGATTGATCAGTTGTCATATATACAGTTGTATATATATATACAGTATATATATATATATATATATATATATATATATATATAAAAAACTTTCCTACAGACTAAATAATGTACATTGATTTGGGTTATTTTCCCCCAAGAAATGTAGCAGTATACATTTTGGCCTAAACTGATGAAGAAAAATTATTTATTTGCAAAATTCTTTGACAGATACTGTACGAAGAAAACACTTTTTTCCCCAAAATTTCCAGTCTATTTTGTTTATTTAGCAAAAAATAAAAAAACCCAGGGGTGATTTAATACCACCAAAGAAAGCTCTATTTATGTGAAAATAATATCAAAATTTCATGTGGGTAAAGTGTTGCATGACGAAGCAATTGTCATTCAAAGTGTGACAGAAAATTGGCCTGGGCAGGAAGGTGGGGAAAGTGTCTGGTGTTGAGGTGGTTAAAAAAAAAATCACTGCTGCCAGCCAAATGAAATTTATTTATTTATTTTGTTTGCATCGGTACATGTTCCCCAGGGCATAGCCACCGCCACCCCATGCTATTTTTTGATACCCCGTTAGCCCATAGATGGACATTTTTAAATTGGAAGATTCGGCTTCCATTGATTTCAATGGGGTTTGTGATCCCCAAGTTCTCCAAACCTTATCCGAACCAAACCCAGGGCAATTCAGCTCGTCACTAGTATGAGCATGAAGCACCTCGTGTCCCTGCAGGTAACTGAATTATAGCCAGAGTTAAGCTTGGGTAAAATAGTACATAGGGAGGGATCTGTGCAGTCATATTTAGACACTGTTCATGTGCTTTCTATATAAAATGATGTTACTATTTTTTTTTTGTAGCTAAATATTAACTGATTTTTTTCTTTTTTTTTACAATTGCTTTGTATCTGTCCTTCGGATTTTCATTTTCTCATTTTGTCCCCGAACTCTTTGTAGAGTAGAAGCTTAGTGAGTATATATTAAATTTTTTTAGATTTATTTATTTAAGTTATTTATAGTAAAACAACAATTTTCAATAAAAGCATTACAACACATAGTACATTATATTTGTGTTACATTATACATCAATGTACAGAAGTGTAGTGGGTTAAATATATTACCCATCAGGGTTGTATTTGCCATAAGACCTTCATGGAGACATGACAGAGAGCTCTCCTCTTATCCTGGCATTATGCAGAGAACATTGTATAGGACACTTCAGGTGCCACACTGCGACTGCCATTTGATGTATTAATCGTAAAATCACAGATGCAATGTGGAGGAATCACTGTGATGTCCTGTAAAGAGTGGTATTTACTCTCCATTATAGATAGGGTCCAAAGTCTAAAACACTATTTTGCTCATATTAAAACGCTATATTATATGTCAAAATATATGTGCCTGTTAAACTACCATGGCATAATTGTAGATATCTAAGTTTTTAACCCTATGTACATTAAAATGTACAACATTTCCTTTTATAATATTATTAAAATGTTATTGTTATTATACATAGGCTTTGAGGCATCCCTATATTTTTTACTACAGAAAATTTTCTATATATATATATATATATATATATATATATATATATATATATATATATATATAATTATAATCTTATGTGGAATTTCTTTAGCTTTGTGTGTGCTAATGTTATCATACTGGGATAGTTTTGAAAAAATGGAAGTGACTTTAGAGTTATTTTTTTAAAGCAGTAGTATATAATTTATATATCATTCTTTATTCCTGATGAATTAAACAAATATCTCTTGCTGCCAATTTTCTGATATTTGAGCGTAGATTTTTAATATGACGATATGATTTTTGTTAGTGAGCACATATTTTCAATTATTGCAGTTTTTCCTTAAACTGATTTTTGTATAATACTTTTATATTTTTATTATTCATT